AAAACCTTATGAAATTTAAATTATAGTGTCTATTTCAATATAGCTATGCTGTATTTAGTTTTACACGTATTAGCATCATTTATTATATCACGGGTTACTTGATACTCACAGATACCCGTTAGGTTATCCTTCTAAAAACTGACGGATAAGGGTTGTTACCCATGACATATTTATAGTATCTGGATATATGGTTAACCGTGCGGATATCTGGATATGTGGTTAACAGGTCCAAACTCTACAAAATAAAATAATAAAAAATTATTCAAAAAAAAAAGCTTTAAGAAGACTTATAGATACAGTATAATATAATATAATTTTAATAGTAGCTAATTCTTTTTTCTCTCTATATAAAACATTTATATTAGCTAGTTTTATATATTCTTATTAAATACAATATACAGTATAAGAGATATTTGGTCTTTCTTACTCTATAAAGATACAGTATTATATAGTATAATGTTTGTAATTTATCTAATTGAATTGTTTATTTTTAACTTTACTTTGACTAAACTGAAAATGCTTTTTTATTTGAATAATAAGTATGTTTTTTAAACTTGAAGATACAATTACTATATAGTATATAAATACTGTATAAAATAATTTTATTGTTCTGATATTTGGTTTTTTTATGTTTAATAGAACTTTGAAATAATGTAAATCAGATGAATAAAGATAACAAAATGGTTGAAACTATTTGTCATAATGTACTGTATATACAAAAAGTAATTTGTTTATCTACTATATGATTAACTATCAAAATAATTCTGCGCCAAAACTTTCTCAAACTTTGAGCAAAGATATTTCGACAACCACCAAGCCAAATTCGGTGAAATTTTTTTTATTCGAATTCTACAAACTTATAGAATCTAAATAAAAAAAGTTTATCGGATTTGGTTTGGTGGTTGTCGAGATATCTTTGCTTAAAATTTGAAAAAATTAAAAAGTTTTAGTTTACAGGGTGTACGAATAACAATCGGGAGTATGAATATCTGCCGCCTATTAAAAATTTAAATTTAAATCATGTACATTTTGTATGCTAAATTTTAAAATTAATATATACTATATGTGCTTTAACACTAAATTTTAAAATTAAGTTATATATATATATATTATACAAGAAATGTAATTGCTATCTATAGTATAGAAAGATACTATACAGACAGTACGATTTAAATACAGGTCTTATGCGACAACCCGTGCTTTTTTCATTTACTTATTGGCACGGGATTGTAACAGAGCACGTCAATTTTTTCACTGGTGTGCCCAACTGCGTTATTACATAGGAGGATAGCTGTGTTATTATATATATAACTTATAATTTATTTATACGTATTATGGTTAATTTAATATTATTAAATATATAGATAATCATATTTAGAAAAGTATAAAATTATTAGCGTACGTACTCAGTCTGCAAATTGTGCAATGAAATAACCCGAGGTAATGCTGTTTGACGTATCATGTGCATACGTTGTAGTACTGTATGCTAGTATGTGTCGTACTAAGATTCTTTAGACTAAGTGTTCGATTCATCTAGGCTCGGTTTAGAAAGATGACTATTGAGGCCTTTGTTTCTATTTCAGTATATTTTGTCATATTATAAACTATGCACGTGAAAAAAAATAACAGGCTATGTCAAATATTACATACTGTAAAAGTTGCAACTTCGTTACAATGTGTCGACCTCAATTCGTTTTGTGTAATAAGTAGCAAATCAAAAATCTAAAGACTGACACGCACGTTATTTTAATCATAGATTCGAATCGTCTTTTTTAAATCATAGGTGTTCAATGCTGGATTTTAAGACATCATATGTATTTTGATTAAAAGCAACATAGTTTACGTTTTTATTGACGATTCATTCATATATATATTATATATTATATATGATCCATATACCCTCTATGAAGTTCTGGTTAGGCGTTAGCCGTTAGAGCTTTAATAAATTTAATATTGATATAATATATAATATTCAATGAATCTTTATATTAGATGCTGAAATTGGATGATCTTCAAATTTATTTCCCACTATCGCTATCCACTATCATCCCATAGATATTCAATGATTAATATCGGAAAAATAAAAATAAAGATATCCATTTTTTTGTCCAGATCAGGCAACATTTCATGTGATCGAGTTTATTGTTTAATTATTTACCGTTACTTTATCGTTACCTAGCATTCGATCACTTAGATCGGTTCAAAAGACCGGTTCAGACCACATCCAAAATAAAAAACATGCTTAAAGTTTATCTAGTATACGTAGCGATAGTGCATGGCTAAGGTAATATTTAAGAATATCAATTTTAATATGTATTTTTAATGAATTCCTCAGAAGAGAACTCACCGGTAACAAATCCAAGATGTGTTAAATGAATTTCCAAGAATGCACACTTGTGTCACACATATGTTTTTTTGTGCACAACTACAAAAAGGTAGCAGTAGATAATGTTTCGATATGTCTTTTAAAACCAGAAAGTTATATATTTTCTAAATGAAGCTCTTCATTTATCGGTTCCCAAATCTTTCTCTGGGACCAATTTTGTCAAATCTTTTCCTACATTTATAAAAAAAATTTTTTTTTAAAGTCCTTTCATTTTTTTTAGTGAAAAAGTGTAAATTTTTTTCACACTTAAAATTTTTCGTGGATAACATTTAAAACAATATTTAAACAAAATGTCAAACTATTCAAGGAGGAAACCTGTTCCTGAACAAGACAACGGGGATTCCTCTTTTCCATTAAAAAATAATAAACCCGCAACTGATTTGAGCTTTATGAATCAACCTCCGAGGATGCCTACAAAATCTCCTTTAAGAAATTCCAGTTCTTCAACTCCAACAAGTGGTTCAACTCAAACCACAATAATTCAACCGGTTATGAGTACAATGTCGATATCTAGTGCAGTGTCGCCTACAACTTCAACTGTTCGTACACGTCCTACAGTAGATACCGCATCGGTAGATCGCGAATTACTAAGTCCCGAAAAAAAGGACTACGAAGAAAGTATTAGATCGTTACAATCAAGAAGACGTGGTTCTGACCATAGTTATAAGCCAATATCACCAATTTCTGGAGTGTTCTCTGATAACATAAATACTACTTCACCGCCACTTTCTCCAAAAATTAAACCGCCGTCTTTAAATATCGCTAGTGATTTACTTTCTTCGTCTGAAGCCATGCTTGCTTCTACTACTTCTCCAAAATTTCCTCCTGGAACTTCATTGTTGGATACTACCGATGAAATGTTAATTCAATTACTAGTTTCTCAAGCTATAATAGACGCGAAGGATTTTGATATTTTAAGTTTAGAAGAGGTTGAGGAATTAAAAAAGGTTGGTAAAAGTAATTGGTGTTCAATTAAGAATTTAAGTTCGATTTTAATACATTTGAATTTTAAACTTGTACGCGTGATGTATCTTAATAAAGTTTATTCTGGCCTTACTTATCATGGATGGAAAATTTTGAATTTAAAATCTCATATTTCGATTCCTAAAATATAACGAATTTTTAAATTCCGCAAACCTATATATATATATATTTGACCGATTTTATAATTTTCAAAAAAAAAAAATTATTATAGGATTACTCATTGTTGACAACGCGTATTACAGCTTTAACATCTAAACTTTCTCTTGAATCAAAAATTCGAGAAGCTGCTAGCTCACTTGCTCGACTTCATGCCTCTAATAGAAGATTATCACGTCAGGCAACGGATCATCTTTCTGCTGCTAATCGTAAAGTTGATCAAGTTGCTACAGAACTTTGGAAGTTGACACAACGCGCTGGGGAAGTGCAAAGGAAATTATTGCAACATATGGCTGGAATTCTTAGTACGGGTATTTGTAAACTAGAAGAGAAACATGTTCATCAATTTCAAACAAATTCAATACAAATTCAGGAAGGTGGCGATGGAATTGACAATCTATATAATGAGATAATGGGTATAAATTCTAATGGTTCGGATCCTATATTAGTAGAAAAGGTATCTAGTTTAGAAACTTCACTTCATAATGCTCATCAGACACTTGCGGAAGCTAGAATGGCGATTAAACGAAAAGACAAAGAAATTGAGGAATTAAGGGCTAAAATTGATGATAGTGCAACAGAAACTAGAGAAAGAACTATTGCCGAACTGAGAACTGAATTAGAAGAGGTTGGAAGCCGGTTGGATATCTTGTTGAGAAAACACAAAGCAAACAGTGGAAAAAACAGTACGTCTTCTGACAATGAAGACTCTGATGAATCTGATTCGGGTAACTCTACTTTTTATCGTCTCTCTACTATGACGACGGCTACGCAACATCTTCAAAAAGAACAATACAGGAACATATCTGAGAATCTAAGTGCCTTGGAAAAAGCTCTAGAAGCTTATGCATTTCGGGTATATAAAAGTGAACAGGAGATAAATTCAACTAAAAATAACACTGATGATGAAAATTCTCAAAGCCAATTGCAAGAAGCATTGAATAATTTGAAACATGCAGAGGAGAAAGTAGAGACAGAACGAAAGAAAGTTAAAAATATGGAAAATGAGATATTTGAGTTACAGGCAAAAGCAGAACGTGTTCAAGACCTTGAAGATCAAATTAAGGAGATGGAGCGGAAAAATCGAGCCAAAGGCGTGAATGAAACAAGTAATGATACAAATGCTGAATTTAAATTGAAAAAGACAGAAAGGGAATATGATGAAATAATGGAAGCTCTAAAGAAATCATTTTCAAATCTACCATCTGATAGATCTGAAGATAATAAAATAAGAATTTCAAAAGAAGCTATAATTTCACGTATTCAAAGAGTTGGTGATGAAAATAAAAGATTAATGGATCAAATTTCACACCTACAATCACGAATGCACGATCAGACAATGAAATTAAAGGATCAAGATAACTTAAAGCAGGAACTTGAAGATACTCTAATTGAGCTTGAAAACTCAAAAACCAGAGTAATAGAGCTTGAAGATAAAGCTCAAAATGCAATATCTCGAGCTGCTTCGACAAACGAAAAGCAATCAGACTTACGTAGTGAGTTAGAAAATTTACGTGAGCGGCTCAGTACAAGCCAGGAAAAAGTGCGAAAATATGAAGCAATTCTAAAACGTCAATCGGTCATTCAAATTGTCGATAATGGGACATCAATTAAAGAAGAATATCAACAACAATTGGCTGCACAAGAACAAGAATATGAAGCACAGATTAAGGAACGTGATGCTTTAATTTCAAAACTTCGATCTAATTTATCACATAATACTACCGAAAAGGATAATTTGTCGCAAGTTGTAAAGGACTTGGAAGATATGTTAAAATCTAAATCTAGAACATTAGATAAAAGAGAAGTGACGATAAGTCGACTAGAAGGAGATGTTGTTCGGCATAAGTCAGAGCTTGCCGAGTTAAAAGCTGCTACTGATGGTATGTCACGTTTTAATAGAGGTAGTAGTCGTACCTCGTCACAAGTTGATGAAGAACAAGAGTTGAATCAATTACGATCAACTAAATCAAAACTCGAACAGGAAGTTAGGAAACTTAAAGCAAATTTAGCCATTACTCAGAACCAATTTTCAGAGCGTGAAGATGCATTGGAAAAGAGATCAGAAACGAATCAAAATGAACTGGATGGTATTTTACGTGAATTTGATCGACTGACACGTAATTTCATTGATTTTGATACTGAACGGCACAAACTTCAAAATAATATCGATCAACTACAATCCAAATGTGAGGCTTTAGAAAATGAATTAGCAGACGAAAAGATCAAACATTTAGGAATGGATGGAAATGAACCAGTAACGACAGCAACTATGCGAAAAGAATTTAGAAAGATGATGGCAGATTCACGAGAGGAACAAACAAAATTATTACGACGAGAAACAGATGAAAGGAAAAAATTGGAGGCTACAGTAAGAAATCTCAAGAGAGAAAAAGAAGCAGTAAAATGGGAAAAGGTTAACAAAGGAACACAAACAAAATTTACTGTTAGCGTTGAAACTGTTAACTAGGAATTTTTATATGTTAACTTATTTTATCACTGAAAAATTTTGTATTTATTTATTTTTTTAACGATTTATAAAAAAAATATTTTAATTTAATAATATGTTTCAACAAAAAATAAAAAATAAAAAAAAATAATACAATAAATTTTCATTTAGTAAAGTAAAAAAATTTTAATATCCTGATTTGTTTTATTATCTAATTCGGTTTTTTCGCTTACCATTAATGAGAAAAATTTATGGTTTAAATTATTTTTGTACACCTAGTTTTAAGCGTAATTACTGTTAATAAAAGATAGAAAGTGGTGCACGCGGCACATCGATTAATAAAACTAATGTGCGCTTTAAATTTTATTTTTATGCATAAAATAAATTTAATGTACGGAATGAATATAGAGTGCATGTTAATGTTTTTTTACATTGCTTACCATTCGTTCTAATTATCAATACATATATGCCTTGCGAATTTCTAATTAATTAAACTGATCAAATCAATTGCAAGAAAGTATATTTCAATCGTGGCTCAGACCCCCACCATATCCATGCAAGAATGGGAAAAATGGTGAGGTCTAAAAAAGTGTTATCAGTTTTCTTTGAAGCTACTTTGAACTTCAAAAAATCAAACCTTTTACATTCGTTCATCATTGCCACATAATTAATCCTCAAAAAGATATTTTTTTTTGCCCTCATCACTGTTTTCTTAATTTCTCGAAGAAATATGGGAGAAAACTCAGATTTGGCTAATCTTTATCACTTCTATCTGGAATTGTATCATTTTCCAGAAGATTAAAATATCCTCTCAAAGAGAACTAGAATTTGAATTGTTCCTATTTAAATATTTGATCCAATATTCCTATTGGACGTTACGCTGATAATCACCATCTACATCTTTTTGAAATATTCAAGGTATGGAAAAATAAGACTAATCTATATTTGGTATGTATAATTATATCTATTCTAGGAAATGGAATCTCCGTTATTGGACGTTTTTAGAACGCATTTAACAACATGCATTGCATCAAAGACGTATCATTTTTTGCATTGAAATTGAGCGTCCTCTGCTGCTCTTTGGCAACTATTACACGGTGTAACATATGCAACTGTATTCAACATAATAAAAGAATTAATTCTTTGTGCTAAAGCGAATGTTTTTATTTTATACATAAATTTATTTGCACATGAACAAATATTTATTACGTGTCACAGTTGATTCTGAAATTTGGCTGTTGCTGAAATTTAGCTGATGCCGAAATTAGTGCATCTGATTGTTATTTCGCGTACAAATCTGGCTTCCGAATAATCAAATCTTATAGACATTCCTCGTTTGCTTATTATATAAACAGATACTATGCATAAAATTTTATTCCGAAAATGTTTACTTAAAGGGTAGGTAAGTACACTCATTAATAACTATTCTTGATCATTAATATTATTAAGACGTTCTGTCAATAACGCCATCCAAGTATATTTACTTGTGATCTTCTCCAAATCTTTCGACTCTCGGATCAAAACTTCTAATGGCACATAAAATCCAAGTTTCTCGAATATCATTGTAATCATATTTTCATTATCCGTATTTTCAACATCATCCGACATCATTTTATGAAAAATTTTAAGTAGGCTATCCAAAAATGATGTAAAAACTACCGTAGGGGGTTTCGATGTGTCATCTTTTAGGTTATTAAAAGGTGGTAACCATATATATAGCATAGAGACGTTAAAAGAATAAAGAAACAGTGTTGTGAGTGTTAAAAGGTTATCACGAATATCCGATGCTAATGTTTGTTGGGATGTAAACGGTCTGATGATACAAAGCCGAGAGAATGCAATGATCCAAATATCGAGGAATAGTCGGTTAATGTCTTTAAAATTGATAGTCTTAAAAAAAAAAAAAATTAGTATCAGAAGGTAACATTTTTGAATCAAGCACCAATTTATAGTTAATTACAATATACCTTTGTCGGTTCAACAGTTTGAACAGTATTCACACAGAATTGATAAAGCAACAGCATGCCAAGTAGTATTCGTGTTATAAACCTAATAATGTAAGAAATACCGATAACTAAAGCGCTACGTACAAGTATTGTGAAAATATTTCAAACGGTGGAGCACTTACTTAAATGGAACATTTGTTACTAATTCAGCAATCTCAATTAATATAATAAATATTTCCTTATTCTCCAAAGATACAAACTGATCAAATAATTGCTTTAGCTCCGTCACAGACACGTCAAAAATATCAATTCGTGCTTCATGATCGATTCCAATATCCTAAAATGGTTTAAAAGTTATTCAATACCAAAATATTAAAATGTTAAATAACTTTATAAAATGAACCTAACTTGGTTATTTTTAAGACCGTATTTTATTTCCAATTCCGCCACCTTCAAACGATCCAAATACATATTAATGATATCGTTGTACATCAACTGTGAGAGAAACGGATCTAATGACATCTAATATATATCATATATGAAAAACCATAAATAAGGTTTAATTTAATAATTTACTAATAATTTAGCAAAGCTGAATTTAAAAATACCGATTCAATTTCTTCATATGTAAATAATTGAGTTATCCGCAATTGATTTAACAAAGGACGGATTTGGTGCGGATATTCGGATCGATAAATCTTGAATCTGCTTAGCCATAATTTAAAGTTACTAATATTTTAAGAAATTAAACCGAATTTCAAAGTCATACAAAGTGTGTATCGGCCGAAATCTTTCAATATCTCGTGGTTCAAGCAGCTATATGTAGTATAATTTAATTATTAAAGATTATAAAAAACTGATATCTTTTTACAATTTTCAAACATACCATTCTGATCTTGCTTTGAAGTAATCTGTGTTCAGACGGGTGGCAAGTAGTATATTCAAGAATATTCTGACACTTCTGTAACCTGAGTACGCATAGCATTAGCTCGTGTTAATAATTATAATTAAAGTGTTTAAAAATAGTGATCTTAAATACTTTTGTTCGGCAAGAATTTCATAATCAGTAAAACCAAGGCCTATTGGAGTATTTGTAACTTTAGAAAATCCCTCCACTAATCGAGAAAATTCGAGATCCTCATACATTAGGGTGCTTTTAATCTAGTGAAATAAATAAATTGTAAATAATAATTTTAATTATCATTAACAAATTCAACAATGAAAAAACCTTAGTACTTTGCCAAATTGCTCAGTTAAAAAAGAAGATATATTTTCTGATTGTGTAGCTTGAGTATTAAGAATGTTACTATCTTCAGATTGTAATAACCAGGTAGCTTCATCACGTATAAATGACAACAACCAATGCATAGTACGTCCAGGCACTCTACTTATATGAAAGGCCTGATTCAACAACAATGCAATACAAAATCTAAAAGGAACTATATTAATATAAGGTTAAGTGATATGTGTTGATCAAAAATGAGCATACGCATGTTATCTTACAAAAATTGGGTTGCGGTTCAAAATTATTGAATAATTTCAGTAAAGGTGTATAAGATTTAGGATTTATAGATTCACGAAGTCTTTGTACTAGTAAACGAGTAATAAAAATTCCATTCAACTAAGAAGTAAGTAGACATTTATAAGAGTAAGTTATAAGTCAATTAATTCTGCTTTTTTTTCTTTTTAAATAAATGAAATTCTACCGTGAAATCACTATTAGGTGCGATTTTATCGGAACAAATATATGCAAAGAGAACATCTGTGTATGATTCGAAAGAGCCACTTTTAAACCAATAAACGCTTTAGGATAAATTTTCATTTTGTTGTAAATTATTCGTTTAGAATAACAAAATTCTATGCAGACCTTCGAAATTGAGAGATCATGTTGTCTGACTCCGAGCTACCATTTATAAGCACATGAACATACGAATAATCTTGTGAAAGAACGAAATTTGCTTCGATATAATGAAATAACAAATTCACAAAAGTTTCGGGATTCATGGTTTGTGAGTGAAAGATGGAAGAATAACAACGATCGCGTCTATCTGTGATCAAACATAATCGGATTGCAGATCAGTGAAAATCTGTCGGTGCTGCTGGGGTAGTTCCCAGGAATAATGAAAACAGCTGTAAATACCGATACAGTATCATAGGCAGAAATTCGTCTGATTGGCTAATGTAGATCAATTGAAGGGGTAACTTATTTATATGCTTTAGAGTACTTTTCAAGAACTCAAGTGTTACAGACTTACACAGCAAAAATTTTTGCATATATCGCTTCTTTAGAGTGTCAAAAGACTGCCATTAAAAATAATCTCTAATAATCTCTAATTTAAGTAGTGTTAGCTTAGTAGAGACTTTTTAATATGGGTATAGAAAGAAACTCCAAGGACCGTGCGTTATCAAGATCTGTAAGGGAAAGTCTAGCACTTTCTAAATCGTTACTGAACTAGTTCTGTCTCAGGGAACTAAGAACAAGACTCTACCCGATTACGTTAAAGAAAATAACGTTATTTGCTTTGCTTGTTACAATGCAATTGTCGTTAACGCATCTTCTGAATTTCAGAAGCATGCATTAGTTTCTTATTCTAATATTGAGGCAGAAATCTCTAACCAACTTACTTTTTTGTCTTTTTCACAGGCCGTAGAGCTGATTACAAACGTTCTTTATGAGAGAGAACATAATTCGTTGCCTACAATTTGGGATTTTGAAGAATTTCGTATACTTATAGAATCAAAAGACGAACAAATAGTGCCTTTCTTTGACAAATTATTGCTGTTAGCTAATCCGGGAACAAAAAACAAAAATACAATGGATAAAGTATCAAACCAATTATTATTTTTATGTTATTTTATTTGTGGTATTAGAAACAAATTTGTTAACAATGCAAAAAGAGACTTAGGAATGTTTTTAGATTCTACTGGGACACTTGATTCAACAATCGACACCCTTGCTGCATTAGGCATAACAATAACATTATGTTCAATTGCCTATCACAAGGATTCTGTGTCTAAAAATCATTCAGAAACTGTAGAGTCAAATCTTGTAAATAGTACTAACAATGTTTTAATTTTAAATATAGACGATTATCACAGCATCCATACTAAAATGATGCCTAATACAACCACAACATCAACCGCAGAACATCTTGCCACCATTCTGCTTAACCCAATCAAGAATCAACCACCAATACCAAGACAAGACATCCATAATCCCATGTTGGTTGATGTCTCGTTAATAAAAACTGAAATCGATAATCACTTTATATCGGCATATTCGCTTTCTCATAACCGATGTTGGGGATTTCACTTCGTGACTAATGAAAAAAAGCTTGAAGAGTTGACTGTTCATAGTTATGATGTTTGTTTAAAAGAAAAAAGAAGCACAAGATCGATTAAAGATGCTATACTTGTAGATCTTGTAAAGACTAGTCTTCATTCTATTGAAGATAATATTAAGGCTATTAATATTGCTATATCTACTCCAACGATTAATAGACATATTGAAGAAGGCAACGTTATTCCAGTCATTGCTGACTGGCCGGGTCAAATATTTTTAAGAACAGCTATTTCACATTATCTTGTTCATGGTAGCTCTTCCGGAATTACTAACAATATTTTATCATTTCTTCAAATGTTAGATCCTTTGCATGTTTCTTTGAATAGCTGTGAATTAGTATTTCTGCAATATTAACCATTTTTCTTCGAAATATATAAGTATATTTTTGGAAAGAAAAAAAAGCTTGCTAAAAAGCCAAAGCTATGACGCATAAATTTATTATTGGAACTTTTGCGTAGCGCATAGCAAGAAATTGCAAAGATGGTTGAAATAAAATTTGGCCATGCATGTAAAAATGCAGAGTACATAATGCTTAAGGACTTGTTGGATAACACGGTTCCATTAGTTCTTGATATTTATGCTTCATTTTTTTGTTCTGGTGATTTTAACTCATATATTAAATCTTGTTTTCGAGTTTGGATACTTTTTTTTAGGTTCCATTGTAAGAATTACACCAAGGCACCTTTAATGTTTCTCTTGAATATTTTTTATTGGAATTCAAAAAATTATCCGATTCTAGAAACAATAAGCTCTGAGTTGCCGAAATTTACTGATACTCCTGTTGAAATCTTTCATAGTCTTCTACGTC